CCCTCCCGCGCACTCACAGCGGGCGCAGCCTGGCGTCCTCCCCAGAGCCGCTCCTCGGTGGGGCCGGCGGACCGGCTGTGCCCAGAGAGCCGCCGAGCTAGCGCGAGGCCAGCGGGAGCTCGTCATTAATCACCGGCGCCGGCAGCTCGTACCACGCGCGCGCTACTCCGCGCCCTGCGCCCTGCGCGCCCGGGCTCCTCTTGCACAATTGCTGGCTCTGCTGCTCCGAGGGGGAGCGAAAGCGGGAGGAAGCGAAGGGGAAACAGCCCAGAAACTTTCATCTTGGACTGTGCTCAAGCCAGGGAGGGAAGTTCCCTGGTGCCTCCCTCCCAGACAAGCTGGCTTTTCAGATCCCTGCACGAAACCCACACAAAGCAAGAGTTAGTTTGATAGTAACATCCAGGCTCCTCCAAAGTGTTCCTGACAAATATTCTTGCTTTTCAAGCAGATGGCGGTGGTTAAGAAATTGATGTTGTTCCACTAAATTAAAACGATAACTGTTTTGTTTTAAATAAAATCGGGGGTGGGGGGGGTAGGGTTTGGTGATAAAAGTTCCTGCGAATGAAACACTTTATTAAGTTAATTAGGTTTTAAAAACATGGATAATGAGGTAAGAAAACAACTTGTCAAGCATTTAACGATCACAAGTTTGGAAATCATATGTGCATTAGATAGTGCATACAGCCAGACATGCATATCGTGGTTAGTTAGCCCTAGTTTTAATGGCATGGTTGTAGGTAGGATGAAATGCATTTGAATAAGGTGTATTTTGATATATCCTGTAGAGGGACCCTGATTACTGCTGATACAGTAAGTTGGGATTTAAATGCAATCAACACAAACCCAATAAGCAATTCTTCATCAGCAATTTCCTATTCTTGCAACTAGAAGTTCATTTCTTCTTAGAGATGACCCCTTGCCATTGCAGAATGCTTTCAGTGGGGTGTTCCTAAGCCACCTTCCTTCTTGGGGAACCCTCTCATAATTGGAATACAGATTGTGTTTTCAGTGACCTTAAGACCAAACAAGTTGTGCGGCACTTTTTAAATTAGATGTCATCTTAAGGCACTTCACTGAGAAGTGGAGAGATGTGTGTATGTGTGTGGGTGTGTGGGGGTGTGTGTGAGAGAGAGGAAAACAAAAAGGAAGAAAAGGATGAGTGGCTAGGTCTCCCTCTAGCTAGAAAAGAGTTAATAAAACCAGATAGAGATAAAGATCAATTGATAAATGGCTATTGAACCACATAGATGGTATTAGATTGCTTCTTTGGCAATAGCCCATTTCCAAGTAGATTTGAATATTAAGGAGCCTTTAAGTCCTGGAAAACATTTAAGCTAAAAACAAATAGAGGTAAATTATATAAATGATTGGTCAGAATTGGGAAAATAATTGGAAATCGCTCAGAGAAAGAAAGTTACATAACTAAGCTATTGTAGTGCCTTTGATCCAGCTGTTTGATTCGGTGGGTATATGAGGATCTGTTTTGTACTTTCCTGTGTACATGCATATATATAAGAGAGTGTCTGTGGAGAGATTAGAAATACAAGAAAGTTTTTTATGCATAGTGGATGTGATCTTAAACTACTTCGTGTTAATTAGACTTTCCTAAGCAGAGTAGTACAATAAACAGAAAAAAAATTACCATTTAACTATTTTATTTTCTTTACATATTTACATAGTTATCCCACCTTTTTCCCTGTGCATTAGAAATGTTTATATCTCATGCAATTCTGTAGCCCAAGTTATCAGAGGGTATGCAATTATATATTTTTCACCCTCTCCTTCAGAATTACTTTTTTCAGTTTGTCTGAATACTGTGTAAACTACATTCAAACTATGTGCAAATCTAAAGACAGCTATTGTACAAGTATAATTGTTTGTTTTCCTTACCTGTGTTTTAGCAACAGTGCTGATTCAGTTGTATGCATATATGTGTGTGCATGTGACTTTTCTTAAAATGACATCTCTTGAAGCCAAGACTTTCAAGGAATATTAGTTTCAAGACTCACATTAAGCCAGCTTTTGTCTTTCTGTAGATAAAAGTTTGTCCCATCAGTTAGTTATTCAGAATTTGATCTATTCCATTTCCAAGCTATAAATATACTTTTGTAGTTTATGATTATTGTAATTTTTAATTAAAATATATATAGGTTGTGAAATGAATAAAATTATTTGAGCAATTTTTTGGTAAAATTTGAATGTTTTCTTTAATAGTATAAAATGATACTATTTACAATGATTATTTTATTGAACAATAAAGATGAGGTTTCATAAATGAGAGAGAATTCAGCATCAGTATTTACAGAAACTTGTAAAAGAAATTATTTCATGAATGCAGGCATTTATCTATGTTTATGTTTTCTGCAGGTAACCTGATAGATAGGGATACAATTTTTTTGGGAGGGAGTTTCTTTGTTTCATATGAATAAAGTTGAATTTGTTTACATAGAAATCTTTCCATTAGTCAGTTACTAACCAAATGACATCACAGTTCACAATTTTAAGTTTGGTGGGTTTATTTGCTCATAAATTATCTACCAGAAGTTTCAGACGTGACAATTGACTATATTTTCCTGCTTTTCTTCACCTTTTTCTCTTATGTTGTAATTAGGTTTTCTCAGATGAGATTCTTTCCCCCTTGTATACAGAAGAACACTTGATAACCTTCAGGGCACTGCTCTTGACTTTTGAAATGGGAGTTCTTCATTGGGTTACTTTGATCACTGACAGCTCGAGAATGACCAGAAACCCTTTGCTCATCTTCTGTGATAATCGACTTGAGTCCAAAAGCTTATTTTTCTTTTTTTAACCTTGTGAGTTATTGTTAAAAGCAGAAAACAAGGCCTATGTATGGCTATCCCCCCTCCCCCGCATTAATGCTTTTGGAAAGTAATTTGTCTGTTTTTATGAATACTTGTGAATTTGTGAGATTAGCAAATATAGTTCTTTTCCCTATCTCAAGGGATAACATATTACAAAAATATTTTAAGATCTTTTCAGAAATGAAAAACCCCAGTAAGGTTTGCCCACACTGTTATACAATACTAGAAATATTTACTTTTTTATGACTGGTGAGGTACATATAACCTGTTTCAAATAAAATGTAAATCCCTTAATAAGATTTCTTTTCAGAGAGGATGAAATACTATGTTAGAATTATAAATGACTCTCTGCATCATTATGTAGTAATTTAGGATTCACCCAATGATGTAACAAAATTAACAACATAATTTCATTGTGAAACTGTATCTTATTAAAGAACAACTGTCTGACATTCTCTTAGAGTTGCTTTATTTAACTTCATGCAAATATTATTAGTAGTGACATTTTTCTATTGTGCATTAGATTCTCTCATTAGCATGGCGTGTTAGTTATCAGCAGAGAAATCATTTCCTAGATAGGTGAGGGGCAAATCAAGAAAGCTAAAAATTAAATCAACGATTTATATTAATACCAGAGGATCTGCTCACCAGATATATGGCAGAGTAAAGCAAACTTCCTTACTAATATAAAACCTGGCACATTTCAGAGAAATGATAAATAAACTCTATTATAAGAAATATGTAATAACATTGCTCAGATGGGCACATGCTTGAAAACAGGGTTTCCCCCCCCTGCCCCACATAGCCTTTTACTACTTCTCATTAATTTAGATACACGCAGAGTCTCAGTTTATGGAATCTGTATTTTAGAATGGAAATTTTGACTTTGACTTTCTATCCCCAAAAATTGTTTGAATGTTTATTCACTAGCAATTTGAAAGACACATGTACAGTCTTCCTTACAGGTCAGATGCCTAATTGTATATTGTGACTGGAGTCTTTGTGATGGTCATAGGAAATATTTTTATCCTAAACCCTCTTCTCCTTGAGTTGTGGTTGTGGCTCCCTTTTACTATAGGATGTATATTCTTATTAATCAGTGCCTACGAGTAATGCAGTTGATAGTTAATGACCTTTGAAAATTACTTGATCAGGCATCACACATCTCCAGTTCCCATTCTGCACTTCTCTCTCACCTTTTTTCTTCCCTTTATATACACTTGGTGTTTTGGTAGCCATGACTTAGTAAAAAAAGGATTAAAGAGGCCGAAGTTACAAAGTCTTGATGCTAAAATAAATGTAACAGGAGGCATGTAATTGTAGCCTGTTGAATTCCTGTGTTGTTAACTGCAACTTAAGCTCTTCTCTAGTTTGAGTGATAATATGATTTAATTTGGAAATTTTCACTGTAAACATGCAGCCAAGTGTAATTCATTCCCAGCATCCACACTGATCATGGAAACACTAAAATAGGAATATTTGAGTTGAAGTTATAATACAAATTGTATCTTAGTTATAGGTACTTCATATTGGCCTGTACACTGTAGTCTATTTCCAAGGTTTAATTTTACT